AAAACCTTCCCACAGGACAAACCTGGCAACAGCTGCAAAAACGCATTAGCATTAATTTGCAGCGAAACTTCCACGGAGTTTATCTCAAACAGAAACAGCAGTGGAGCCTTTCAGCCCGCTGAGGTCGGGGCGGCCGGCCTTTATGGTCACGTATGTCTAAGGTTGCCTAAGGTTTGCGCTTCTTGTGTTATTGGACCACGCGGGTCTTCACGCGGCAGCTGTACAGCGGAGCGGTTACAATACAGATGTTTTACGCGCTAATGCTTCACGGCTGCGCTTGCTGTTGTTACTTCGCGTCCCGCCCTCGCTGCTTTCTCCGAGCCGCCTGCGCCCAGTGAGTAGCAGTGTTGTTTCCCTAGGCCTTGGGGTAAGTGGGTAAGTTTCTTTGCTGTTTGCTTCTTGTGGCGAGGTCTCTGTACCTGGCGGGGGGGTGTGCAGGTTCCTTTTCCCACATCAAGTGATTCCTCATGCCTGGGTAATATTTGTCAAGATTTGCTCCCTAAGCGAAAGTATCATCATTGGCAGGTTTTTTTCCCCTCTTAAAGAGGTTTTTCCTGCTGTCAGTCCGCTCAACCCAATGTCCGGCTGGCAGAGCTAAACCGTTAAACAAGCCGTACACATCTTTAATTATATTATCTATTTATATTTAGAATATTATCATAATTATATCAAAAAATAACAATTATAAACAAATATATCCATACCCATTCGGATAACAATAATATTGAAATTTAACAATATATATAAAATATCGATATATTTTAGATATTTTTAGATTATACATATTACAGTATTTATAATTATTAAATTCGTCCAAATTATAAGGAATTAACATAATAGTATCATTGTCATTTATTATTTAGTTAATTTTCAGGTTATCAAATTTATAGAAATTATGATTCAATATTATAATTCAATATTATTCAATATTATTAATATAATTTAGATTCCGTCCAATTTGTACTGGTTACTAATTTGGTCCCTTTAAATTCCCTAACAAAATAATTGTGTATGGGGGGTAATAAATTCCAAAAATTAGGTGGGGTACCCTTACAATATGCCTCAACCCGAAATCAATATTTTAGCCCAAAACCTCTGTACCGGTCTTGAGGTATCTTATTCTGTAATGAAAATTCAATAGGGCAGATATTACAATGCCTTTGTACTGCACAGATAATTTGAGCAATATGCTTTGGAAGGTAAGTTACACCTATATCGCTGGCAACACCACAACTTCAATCTTAGATCAAGAAATTATTAAGATAACTTAATTTACGTAACATCGCTTCCCGGCGATCAGACCAGTATAGAAGGAACATAATTTTATACATATATAATAATTAGTAACTATGATTATCCTGATTACTAGTAATCATCAATCGTAGTAACAATATGTAACAATGTATTGGCTTGCTGCCAAGAATATACAGTTTTGGTTAATTTAGACTTTTCATCGCAAAGAATGCAAGTTGCAAGAGTCGCAAAAGAGCTTGACGTTCCGCATGCTCCTCGGAAACAATCTCTGGGTTATTCAAGTGCAGAAAGATCTCAACAAAATAGGTCAAGCATGGTCAAGCACTGTTGGGCCTCCCTGCCGCCCTCTCATGTTCGAAGAAAATTGGTCGTAGAAAGGCAATCTCTTTGTCCTGCAAGGAGCATAATTGAGCTTAGACTTCTTTCAATATCATGGCATGCAATGAAGCTGGCCTGAACAGAATTCTCATCCGCATCCCTGGCACCAACGACAGATCCTCGGCACCTTCGGCTACACCAACTTAAAGCATAAACCAATGCATCATCTTCTCAGCATTCAGCGTCAACGATGCGCAAACTGGCGCTCAGGGAAGTCGCACCTTTTCTTTGCTTGCCGGAGTTCTGTGCACAAAAAGAGCTCGTCGACGAGCAAGGAGAAGATTTGATTTGAGTCTGCTTCTGCAGCTGCAAGTGTGATGGACGCATTGGATGAAAGCACTGGATGAAAACTAGATGAAAGCACTGTATGATCTGTATGTATTCAGAAACTCTCACAATCTAAAAATATCTAGGTTATAGCCATCACACCTGCCAAGTTGCCAAGAGCTATTCCAGCCTCATGAAATTTCATGAGTTCAGAAATGGAAAACACGATTTCTTCTGCATTTCGGTCACTCCCAAAAGAGGTAGAAACCAGGCAAGTCCAGTGACCATCATGAAGAGGACGATTGTTCTGAGCAATCTGAAGTTGGGCCCTGGTACCTGCTGGAATGCTTCTCTGATGCCCTTCCACTTCTGCAACTTAAGTCTCACCCCAGCTTGCGACACATACATAAGGCGGGGCTCTAAGCTGTCGTTATTGATGTGCAGGGTAAGGTCAGCCAGTGGCTCCAATTCTGCAACAGCGTTTGTCACTGCATCGAAGGATGTGCGCAAAGCTTTTGGGCTGGTTACACGCCCTCCCTCGCGAGCAACAGAGGACCGCTGCTGCATGATATCCCAACTGGCGAACACATGAATGATTGCTATCCGATACTGAGGATAGGCTGCTCGAATTTCGGCAAAGAATGCTTTTTGCCGAGTAGCATTCCTGAAGCTGCAAAATCCCAACATATCCCAACCCTTGCAAGCTTTGCTTTCATGATCTTTCATGTCCAGCTTGTAAGCTGTGATTAGTCAAGTTGGGAGAAGAATATACCAACATAGTGGCTCTGGGATGAGAAACATCATGGGGGCTTTTTGTTAAGGCGCTTAGGCATGCTTAGGATTGCTTAGGCAGCATTTGAATTCATCCAAGAGTCCGCAATGATCCATCCACGAGGATGTGACGGCCTTGTCGCAGAGCTTCCCACTGGGCGATGAGAGCGCAAGTGCCAGCTTCTTTCTGAGTCATCACAGCTGCTTCTGGCCCATCGCGCTTCAAGTAGCCCGACCACTCTGGTAGTTGAGTTCGAATTAAATCTGGGTCCGTTCTCACTAGGTCCAAAGGCAAGTGGCCCTGCTCAAGCATCCACGATACCACATAAGATTTGCCAGCGAAAAACGACCCTGCTGTAAAAACAATCCATGGATGAGGATCTGTAGTCCCAACAGACCCAGCTCCACTGGACCCGAGGATTCGCTCTATGATTGCATCTTGCAACTGTTGCCGCTTCAACCCATAACACCCATGGTATTCAAAGTCCATTTCTTCGCGGATGGCTTTGTAAGGTCCTGCCATTGTTCTGCCTTTCACCTGGTAGTTGTCAGAGGTCTCGTGGTCCCAAGCATAGTTCTCAGGGACCTCAAAACATCTCAGAACCACATCTCTAATGCAAATGCTGCACTGCTGCTACACAGGGTCCAAGTTTCCTTGTATGGGAGCTCACTTTCTGAAAACTATACACCACAACTTCTCATACATGTAGATTTCATTTCAGGAATTGCATATACAAACTTTGGGCTACTTGGGTGACTTCTCATGCCAAACTCATGCTTTCTTTGACGTGTGGTTCTGCCTCCCAAAAGTCTGAAGGATGCTGTGCACAGTTTGTCTTCATGATGAGCTTCTAATTTCTAGGCTGCCACCCACCGAAGGCAAACCATTGGAGTGAAACAAAGGTACCGCAAGGCAGAATCCTAGGGAGTTCAAACCCAGTGAGCAAGCATGATGCTGATGAAGTCTTGCGATATTTGCGATTGCAGCTATTACCTTGCTGACAATGATGTTTTCCTTGACGGTGTCCATTGATTTTCCCATCAATGCGTTGTGTCACGCAAAACTGAAACTTGGTGGTATGAGCCAGTTTGGGCCAATCAAGGTGCAAAGCCATCTTTTGGCACCTATGCAGCTATGGAACGCTACGCATGCTATGGATGCCGTCAACACTTCCAGAGCATGTTGAAAACACGATAAGAAACGTGAATGCCAAAACTTCCAGAGCATGCTGCGCACCAGCCTGCGTAAGCTTTGGACACGAGCAAGGCAATGCGACGACCAAGCCGACACCGTCTCGCTCGTAGAACGCAGCCCAAGAAGCGTTGCAGATCTTACAGTAGCGAGACTTGTCACTCTTGGGTCCAAGAAAGTGGCTGGTAAAAGCAATCGAGGTTCAGGTATGCAAGGGGTATCTGAAGCATTTGTTTTGCGGAGGCTTCATGTCTGTTGCACAAGAATGCATTACAGTCACATACAGTCAACGCATTCATAACAATCCATCTTTGGGCCCTCAACCCTGCGGAAGACGCGAGAAGTCTTCGAGAAACTTAGATCAACATAGAACAACGTGTGATGAGTTGACGTGAAGTCCCACAGCTTCCAGTATTTCAGTTGCACCGAGCCAATCACCATGTCTTGGCAGTGAACACCAAGACTTTCCTTGAGCACAAGCCTGGCAGAACAGGGAATTTGAGCATTTTGAATCTGATGTAATAGGGATCAACGCACCAAAAAATGGTAATAGTACGGGCAAGCACCTCGATTTGCCCGCGCTTGTCGGCGGTCATCTTCGTATGTGCTGAAAACGTGATAAAAACGGGAGTTTTTTGCATCATTGCTCACTTCATGTTGTATATCGGCACGCACAGCATAAGGACCTGTGCGAGCGCTTACACCACATCATCATCATCATCATCATCATCATCCTCATCCTCATCATCATCATCATCACCATCATCATCATCATCATCATCGTCAAACCCTTATTGAAGTTCTTCAATGAATGTAGAAGTTTAACGGGGGTGGGAGAATTAAACCCTTATTGAAGATCTTCAATGAATGTAGAAGTTTAACGGGGGTGGGAGAATTAAACCCTTATTGAAGATCTTCAATGAATGTAGAAGTTTAACGGGGGTGGGAGAATTAATCCCTTATTGAAGATCTTCAATGAATGTAGAAGTTTAACGGGGGTGGGAGAATTAAACCCTTATTGAAGATCTTCAATGAATGTAGAAGTTTAACGGGGGTGGGAGATTAAACCCTTATTGAGGATCTTCAATGAATGTAGAAGTTTAACGGGGGTGGGAGAATTAAAGCCTTATTGAAGATCTTCAATGTGTAGAAGTGTAACGGGGGTGGGAGAATTAAACCCTTATTGAAGATCTTCAATGAATGTAGAAGTGTAACGGGGGTGGGAGAATTAATCCCTTATTGAAGATCTTCAATGAATGTAAAGTTTAACGGGGGTGGGAAATTTATATTCCCTAAATACCCTTGTTGATCTTCCCAATTGAATGTAAAGTCTAACGTTTGATATCCCCAAGTGTACAGCATAGAAGGGGTGTGGGCGAATCGGGGTGTTTGCGCGTAATAGTAAATTATATATACGTGTATGTATATATATATATATGTACACGTATATATAATATATATATATACACAGTATATATATATATATATTGTTATTACTCTAATCATCATTATATCATTATTGTGATTATTACCAATTTTTTGTTGTTATTACTATTACTATTATTGCAACTTATTACTATTATTACTATTATCACTATCATTACCATCGTTACTATTATTACTATTATTACTATTCTTGCTATTTTTACTATTATTACTATTATTACTTTTTATATTCTAACTAATCTAACTATTATTACTATTATTAATATTCTTACTACTATTATTACTATTATTAATATTCTTACTATTATTACTATTATTATGATTATCAAAATTATTATCTATCATATCTATTATAACTATTCTCACTATTCTTACTATTCTTATTCTTATTATTATTACTATTCTTATTATTATTACCATTATTACTATTCTTATCTATTATATATAACTATTATTACTATTATTATATACTTTATTATTATTAGTATTATCATAATCTATTATTACTATTATTACAATTGTAATTATGTCATATTATATACACTACATACATGTACATTTACAGTACATGTACATACACATGGATCGTGTGGACAGGGCCTCAAGGCTGTGGAGAAAGTCTTCGGTGAAAGTCATGCCCAGGCTGCCAACTTCTCGCAATGGCCTAAGTGACATGATTCATTGGACAATACATGGTGAACACATGGTTAAAAGATGGTTAACAAATGCACATGTGAGCATTTGAACATGTTTAAAAAATGTGTTTGAACGTCAGGATCCAATGCAAACGTTTCTCAACAGCTTCCTTTCAATGCATTGGATCCGATTTGATCCCCTCAGGTCCCTGCTCTGCAAATACATCAGGAAGCGTTTCTCGGGTCAAAGAATGTGCAATATGTGCAATTCTCAAGAGAGCATGTAGGAGCCATGTAGGAGCCATGTAGGAGCCATGTAGGAGTCGTAGGAGCTCAAACAGTTCCAATATATTTCAATAGATTTTAAAGGCATTTATTTCTGCTAAGGCTTGCACCAGTCAGGCTGGACAGAGATGCGCTTATGGGCCTTTCACTTCAATGTTAGTGTCAATGAAGCGCTGACCACGAATCTCATCGTAGTCGCGTTGCTGTCTCAACCAAGTCATCCTACGTGGTCATCCTACGTCCAATTTCAGAATGCTTGTCTTGCCTGGAGCCACGGCGATTGAACGCCTTGGATTGAAAGTTGATTGGTTGCAGTATATTGCAGTACAATTTGTGATATTTCTGCAGCTGGGACCAGTACTTTGATCAAATTGCACGACGAAGCTAAATCAAATTTCCATATTCATCAATATTCTACAGCATTAAGTGATTGCTTGGGAATTGTGGCAAAGTCTGAAGCTTCCTCTGCAGCACTTTCGAACGCTACAAACTTGATGCCAAGTTTCCTGATAGATCTGATGATCCAGACAATCATGCTGGTCCAACATCTGCCAGCTTGGGACAAGGTGACAAGCTCAGAAGAGCAGAATTGCCGTGAAGAAACTTGATCCGACTTGATCCGGATAAACTGGTGATATAAAATGAAACACTTCAATTTATCAAAGTATATATATTATATATATATATGTACTGGAAGGCACCTCCACAGCCAGGGAAGCTTCTCGGATACCAAGAGAAGCCTCTCAACTGGCCGACTGCAGCAGACTAATGGAATGTAATCTCCATTGAAGAGTGTGGCAAGGAGGCATTGAGATGCACTTGATCAAATGAGTGCAATCCATTGCGGACATTTGCGGACTGCGTCATCATTGGTGTGTGACGATTGTGTGATCCGTCGGAACTGCTAGGGCTATCTGTGGCATCCAAGGCAGACTATTTTGACAATCGCAAACGCTGACACTTGCAAAACTGCGTTGTAAGAATGAACAAGACGAAGCAGCATGAGGCAGCGTGGCAATCAACATGACATGTATCCTGGGCATGCAAGGGCAATGTAAGTCTGTTGCTAATTCTCAACCACATTCAAACGCGCGTAGGTTAGGACGGGGACAGCCTGACTTGGGACAGCTCGTCGAACTCGCAGCCAATCTGGAAGGTCAGAACGAATCTGAGCAAGCCTTTGATTCGCTTCAAATCACACTCTGCAAAACGGAGCATTAACAACTATACCATCTATCCAGTCTATCAGTCTATCAGTGCGAATACCAAAAGTCACGGTCTTGAGACGTCTCTCGTCTCTGATCTTATGTAGGCTGAATGTCTTGGCACCGCACAACAATGTCACGGATCTGGCTGTTGATTTAACTTCTCTGCAAGCCTTGTTGGATCGTCGCTGATATAGCATGGATTCCCTTTGTTGTATACATTTTTTGCTGACAATGCGTGTTGAAAACAAAATTAGTGGTGTCTGCGAGGCCTCCATTGTGAGAGCGTAGAATTGCGGTGCGATCCTTCAGCGACATGATCGCAAATATATTCAAAACATCTCAAATACTGTACCGAGAGAGTCCAGAAGATCAGTGCCTTTCAAGCAAGTACTCCTGAACTTGAAAACGGCAGTGGAAGTACATGGAAGTACAGTAGATTCTCAGTCTGTCCTCAAAGACTGTCGCTGCATTTGCCGAAGGGCCGA